GACTAAGGACTAAAGGCATGTGCTAAAGACATGTTAGTTAATACAAAAAGGCCAGTAGCGAGCACTGCTGTTCACTACGGGTAAATGCAACACCAGCAGCACCGTGAAGAGCCACGACCGAACGCAACAAGCTACAGCACTGATGCCCACTCGATGGTCACGCCCGATCGCCGGTGTGTTTTGTCTGCCTCTCTGCTTGCTGCCGCACGCGCTCGCGCACGTGTTTGTGTCTCTTTTTATTTTATTTTTTTCTTGTTGCTGTGTTCGGGCGGTGGCCGCGGCGGTCATACAAACGCGCGCAATGACAACGCGCCATCAACACAGCGTCAACGCTGCGGTGAGGGTGGCATTCCTGCACATGACGGAGGTCATGGGATGGCCGGCGGATCGCGTGGTGGTGATGGGCAGGTCTCTGGGCTCGGGCCCCGCGGCATGCCTCGCTAGGGAGTTCCAGCCGGGGGTGAGTGGCCGTCAACAGCAGCATGGTTCATTGGCTGCAATCGTTATTTCTGGGGTTTTGCTGTTTCAACGGTAGGAGCACCCGGAACGAGAAAAACACGTGGTGTGAATTGACCCTCGTCAACCGCTCTAACAAACTCTGTATTAGACGTAGTGCTCTACCATGAAGTTGCAGTCCGTTGCTGTTGCTGTTCACGTCGCACGTCGGCTTTACGTACGTGTAAAGCGGGGACGGAAAGGGCGTCGTGTGCTGCGTACCTTCGGACCCATCACCCTCTCCCTCGTGTGTTATCTGCGATGATGGCGGTGGTGCTGGCGATGATGGCCTCGTCGCAGGCGCTGTTTCTGCTGGCTCCGTTCACGGGGGTGGGGGACATGGCCGAGAGCATCGTCGGGGGCACGCTGGCCTCCATGTTCAACCTCAACCAGTGGGACAATAAGGTCTGCGTAGGATGTCATTGTACTTGGGTTGTTGGGGAAGGGACGTATTGTCGATAGAAGTGATTCATCACTTCCGGGATCTTGGCGCGAAATTTCGAGCGTTGACACACGCTATCTCGAGTCCCGCCGACCCAATCTTTCTATGAAATGGAAACACGATGGCCGGCTATTCTGAACGCGCGCCCATCCGCTATTTCCAAGCCTGTGGGTAAACCCGACAAATCAAGACGGTGAACGAGTCCCACTGACCCAATCTTTCGAATTTCCCAGCATTTCTGAAGGCTGTTTCCAAGCGTGGAGGCGTGTACCTCGAAGCCCGCCGTTTCCAAGCGTGTAACAATGTACTCAAATGTATTCCGTGCTCCGATCTTGTCTATTGTTCCCTTCGAACGATTCTGTTCCCTTGGCGACAGAAAGCGGTTGCTGAGACGACCTGCCCCACCCTCGTTCTGCACGGGCTGAAGGACCAAGTCGTGCCGCACACCCACAGCCTGGAGCTGTACCGAGCTAGCGCCGCCACCACCAAGGTGGCCATGGCCGCTCGATCTGTCGGTCGACCCCCCCCCCCCCCCCCC